CCCCCCCCCCCCGCCAGCCACCAGCCCCGGTGCCGCTGCCCCTCCAGTCTCCACTTAGGTACTGGGGAGGCGTCCCAAACTGGGCTCGGAGGTCAGAATTCCTCAGGTTACTTGCCAAAGCTGCTCCTCCCACAGGAGGTGGAAATGCGCTTGTCATTCCAGGTGCTCAGCCTGAAAACATTGGGGTTGAAAATCCATCCCAGGTCCGGCCACATCCCCCGTCTCCTGTGCCCCCAGCCACCGCATCGCCCACCTGGACTGCACAGTCCCCCCTGCCCCCTTCCCCGTGCCCCCACCTTGCGTCCCACAGTCTGTCCTCCCTGAAGCAGCCACCAGAGGGCGCTTGTGAGCACCCGGGTCAGGTCCCGCCGTCCTCTGCCCACAGCCCTCCAGGACTCCCACCTCCCTGGAGGAAAAGCCAAAGCCCTCCCTGTGGTCCCCAAAGTCCTGTACAACCTGCTCCTGCCCTTCCCTCTTCCCTCTCCCCCTCGCCCACTCTGCCCCAGCCACCAAGCTTTCTCACTGTTCCTCCATCATGTGAGCCTGGTGCTGCCCCAGGACCTTTGCATTTGCTACTTACTCTACCTGAAACCTTTTTTCCTCCAGGTATCAGTTCACTCCCTCGCTGAGATATTTGCTCCTTTGCTCAGATGTCCCCTCCTCAGTGAAGCTTGCCTGAGCCGCCTGCGTTGAAATCATAACCTCACTCCTAATGTTCCTTTATTCTGTTCCCTGCTTTATTTTTCTCCGCAGCATCTCTGTTTTCCTGTACGCGTTCCTTAATTTTGTTCATTGCCTGTTTTCTCCACCTGCACAAGCACCGCGAGAGCAGGGATTTTGTTTTCCGCGGCATGACAGCGGGGTGGCGCCTGAGCCGCGAGACGGAACATGAAAGTAAAGCCCTAGTGTGCAGTGTTTTCCCTCCCTATACCCACCACGGTCCACTCATGTAGCTCCCGATCGTGACTTTTGTAGTCAGGACACACGGGCCTCAGCACATCGCTGAGCGGACCCCTCGCCCCGCTAGGTCGCGTGCCTGGCTCCTCCTAGTGGGTGGCAAATCGGTATTTGAGGCGCGCCCGTC